TTCCTCAAGATGTTATTGTCGCGGTATCGTGTCTCTTGTTCAATTTGCAGGTGTTGCAATAATTGTTCAAGAGTCAAATCTTCCTTCTTGTGTAAGAGTTTACTTCTGTACTCTTTCCAAGATGGAGGAAGTTTTGAGACAATCGCACCAACATGAAAGTTTTCATCAAGAGCAATTCCAGTTATAACAATTTTTTTAGCTATAAGTTGAAATTCTTGTACTTGTTCAGTGATTGACTTGTCATCAACCATTTTGAACTCCATATAATTTGAAACAAGAAATTTCTTTGAACTCGCTTCTGCTAAATGAATAGCTTTAAGAGTATCCCAAATCTCTTTAGCAAATTTACACTTAATATAATATTGATCATAATATTTGTTGGACATTTCTCCAAGAATATAATTCTTGCATAAGTAATAATCATCTTGCCATTTGGCAATTTGTTCTTTAATTAAAGTAGTCTCGTCCGTTGCTACCTCAGAACTAGGAGCCTCAGGACAAGGTTTCTCAAGAACATACGCTAACTTTAATCGTCTTAAAAAGAATTCCATCTTTCCACGCCATCTAGAAAAGTCTTTTCCATCAAATATTTCAAAATTAGGATTAGTCAAAGATGGAACATTGTTCGTTATTGATGTGGATGTCATAGAGACAACTATCTTCAAATTGTTAGAACAAATGAACAAGAATGATAAAATTACAAGGAATACAAAATAAAACTTGCTTGGCTTAGAGGCACGTTAATACGTTTCTTGAAGATAGTTGGAGTCTCTTCCACAAGCAATCGGAAGAATAAATAAAAACTCTATCTTTGGGATTCAACTAAGCCACAAAACAAGTAGCATTCAAGAATGTTACTCTTCTATTTTTGAATTGGTGATTTCACCTTTTGATCAATGTCTCACAAGTGTTTTCAAGGGAAAGTACTTTTGTTTGAATGTTTTTCTTTTTCAACCAAAGGAAACTCAATTTATAGGATAAAAAGTTTTTGCAAAAAAAGATTTTTAATTAATAGAATTTATTAGGTTCATGAATTGGAAACAAAAAACTTGTTTTTCAAAAATCCATAACGTAGAATTAAAAAAAAAAACTTCTTGCAAATGTTTGTAACATAGAATTAAAATAAATGAATGTTACAACTCACATTCATGTATTTGTTATTTCAAAATGGATGAATTTGTTTCAAAATTAATTGAAATACTAACTCTTACAGATCCATCACTATGCATGCCCCTTTTCTACATAATTTGTAATAGACATGTTTAAAAAAAGAGTCTATTTGGATAAGCTTATAACTTTGCATATATAATTTTTTAATTTATTTTTGTCTTTTTAACTTAAAACTAAGTCACTAAACACGGGTTTTTTAATTATTCAAACAATAAAAAAGAAATGCTTAAAGTGATTTTAAGCACCTCCTGAATTAATCAAAAAACCAAAGGCAAAATTAATTTGACAAGTCAATATGGCTAGGTTGTGAAGGGGACAAAAAAATGATGGCAAACATCTATAATGTTCAGAATATTGTTAACTTGCTGACCCTATGTATGACTCTTCCACAAGATGTTTGACATGAAAGCAATATTCATCCAATTAATCAATACAAATTTACAAAAACAAATATGTTTCTTTTGTGTCTTTATCCATGTTCATCTACGTAATTATGAGTCAAAAATATGTTTATTTTGTGTCTCTTGATGACAATGGAGAATTAAATGGACAGCCCAATACTGAAAGATACTAGGCAACAATAAGGTCCCTACGGGATGTAATGTTTTCTAGAGAGGTGCACTATGACAAAAGATATATTTAGTGGCAATAGATATTTTTTTCAGCCATAATATTTATTATACAAATATTTAACGGTCATCCAAAGTCGCTAAATACTTTAAATATATGCGTTGATTATAAAAATTCGAGTCATTAATATGGGTTAGGCCATAAGGATCTAAACCGTGATTTGAGAGCTGAGCTATGATTTTCGGAGCTCATTAAAGATTTTTTTTGCCTGACCTAAATAAACATATTAATTTGTGTGGCTTGAGAAATATGAATATGATTGATCCATGGGCAAAATAAAAATTAATTAAAAATAAAAATAAAATAAAAGTATTAAAAATAAAAATAAAATAAAAGTATTAAAAATAACAAGAGTCAAAACTCAAATCGATTTAATGTTTTAAGTATTGAAATTAAATTACAAATTAAATTTATAAAATATGTAATACATAAAATAATTTTTTCTAAAATTTCTAGATAATTACTCCACGTACCGTATGGAATATTTGTCATATCTTTTGTGTTTTATTATGATCATTAGAAAAAAAATTAAATTAATATTTCTATTTAGCTATTTATACTTTTATTTGAAATCAAACTTAATAAGTACTATAAAGATAATTTTATTTGTAGATTTGATTATCAAGTAGTAAACTAATTCTATGTAAAATTCTCTTGTCAATATATATACATATGAAAAAATGATCAATTTTGTTGTAAAAAATAAGCTAATCCGGCATAGCTTGTAGCCACATAATCGTGGGTTGAACTGACCTTTTTTATGGCCACAAAAATAAATGGGTCAGCCAGCTTGTTCCATCAATTTAAAGCCTGAGTAAGTTAATTTAGATAGAGTGAGTCAACTCATATAGACGCCTCTACTCAAACTTATATTTACTATTACCGCTAAATAAATGCCACTAAATGCTGTTATGATTGTGGGCGGGGGAAGGAATGTCACGTACATTCATGTCAAATATTGAACGTGATAAATAAACATATTTGTGATCACATACAACAGAAATCGTATGGATATCCAAAAAATGACTCGCTATCAAACATTAAAATCCTACTCAACATCTTAACTGCTATACTATACCTCTTGGATCTTTCACATGAGAACATTGGTGATGCACATGGAGATAGATCACAAGACACCATGACAGAGAATATTTTTAAGTTAGCTTTCTGTTTTTTCTTTGTGGGGATCCAAGGGAATTAGGAAAACATTATGAACAATAGTATTTAATTTAATTAATGCGTATAACACTCAAATGATCAACTATGCCAATGTGCGTGGTCGTCTTGATGAATGATTTGCATTTATTCCATTCTATTAAATTGCACTACTAAATTGTACGCATGAAAACAACGAACAGAAAAGCGACGGATGATGTCGTTCAGAAAAACGATGTTATTTATCACTTTATTTTACAAAATAATAAAAACTACGGACGAAATCTCTTAATCCGCTGCTTTGTTTGATGGATTTTTTCATAAAAAATATAAAATTATCAATTGTTTGATTAATAGAAGTATAGAAATCGTCTGTCACTTTTTATTAAATAATAAATTTTTAAATAAAATAATAACCATATTGTCCATCGTTTTTGAGTAATTGTAATTTGGTTAAGCACTTTAAAAAAGCGACGGACATTGTTATGTAGTCCGTCGCTTTTAAATCAAAATATTGATCAAATATTTCTAATAAAGCGACAAACGAAGAGACTCTATCGATCGTTTTTCTAAAATATGTGGGAGACCAAATACAAATTCCCTTATTTTCTCTTTCCCTCATCCTCTCTCTTTTCCTCTCTTCGTTGTCTCTAAAGATCTAAAACTACCCCCCCCCCCCCCCCCACAAACCCGCCAATGCTTAAAGGTTAGTGCTTCATCAATTCTAGTTATATTTGATTATTCCTTGTCTCTAAAGATCTAAACTACACCTCCCCCTCACCCGCCAATGCTTTAAGGTTGGTGCTTCATCGATTCTAGTTATATTTGATTATGTTAGTTTATTGAATTTTTGTTTTATTGATAGTTAGTTAGAATTGTTGATTGTTGGATAATGAATGAATTAGGAATTTTTTAATTTTAGGACTAGTTTGAATTTGATTATGAATTTGGATTTTTTTAAATTTGATTGATTGTTAATTAGTGAAGTGTTAATTTGAGGTTATAAGTTAGTAATTGAATTGTTTTGAGTATATAAGATGAATGTTTGAATGTCATGATGAATATATATTGATGAGTTTTTTTTTTTTTTTTTTTGAATTAGTAATTAAAGTGGATTGAGGGTTAGTGAACGGTGTAAATATTTGAAATAAGAATTGACGAATAGTATATGAAAGTTATAATTAGATTAGTTGAATTTTACAACATAGAAATTCTTCGATTGTAATAGTTAATATATATATATATATATATATATATATATATATATATATATATATATATATATATATATTTATATTTATATTTAAGAAATTAGATACGAACTTAAATTTTTGGGTTTTAGAGCTTTATTAGATTATGATCTTTAAATACTTAAATTTTTGGATTTCAGAATTTTAGGTTGTGAACTTTAGAAATCTTGAATTATTGTAGGATCTTAAAACTCTAGGCTGTGAACTTCAGAAATTTTGAATTATTATAAGATTTTAGAACTTTAAGTTGTGAACTATAGAAATTTTGTATTGTAGAATTTATGAATTTATTAGGTTTGAACTATGGAAATCTTGATACTTAAACTGTAGTCTTTATGAACTTAATTAATTGAGCTTGAACTTAATTAGAGCATTGAATTTAATTTGAAGTTTGAATTAACTGAAATCTTATGGAACTTGATATATTTGAACTTAATTTATAATAACTTGAACTTAATTGGGAAATATGAACTTGAAATCTTGAAATATAAAGTTGATCTTATTAGAACTTAGAACTTAATTTAAAATTTTAAGTACTTAAAATCTTACCGACCTTAATATATATGAACTTAATTAGAACTTTGAACTTAATTTATAATAACCTGAATTTAATTAGAAATATAATTAATTATTTAAAATCTTAGACTTTGTAGATCTTGAAATGTAATATTTATGAACTAACTAGGAGTAATTATAAATATGCATTAACAATATAAATAAATTAGTTTAATGTAGTTAAATTATTTAATGTATGATTGAATATTTATATATTTTTAGATAGATCATCGTTTGTGAATGTATAATATGTATTATAAAACTAGTGGTGGTTTTAAAACTGAGCTTATTGACAGTGTTAGAGGTTTTAATTATACATACAATGACAATGGATATTTTCAAGAATAATGGATTAGTTAGGTGTCCTTGTAGTGAATGTAGGTGCTTAATTTTTTTAATCCAGATACAATCATCGTTCATTTGTACAGTAATTGATTGAAACTTAAATATTTTGTATGAATTTCTCATGAAGAAATAGATGGATTGAATGATATGTTTTATAATTCAATGCCCGTGGATGAATATAATATACTTGTACCACATGGACAAATTAGGTTTGAACATGACGATAGAATTGAACATGATATGGTTCATGAAATGATCAATAAAGCTTTTGGAGTTCAAGGTGGGATGAAACCCTAACAATATTTTGATGAAGCTCCTAATGAAGAAGCAAGAAGCTTCTATGATCAATTAGAAAAGTCTAGTCGTCCATTATATGAAGGGAGTCCGCATTTTACCTTGTTAGTTGCGCTTAGATTAATGAATATTAAATTAGATTGGAATGTTCCTAATGCAGCTATTGTAAAACCTCAATCTAAGATAAGCCCTTAACTATTCTTTAATTGCATATAAGGTCTTATCGGGTTATTCTTAAAATTATAATATATGTAAAGGTAAATAATGTGGTATGAGAATGATTTTGGATGTCAATGAAGGTCACCAAAAAATCCAGGAACAAAGTTGAGTTTAAAGTTTCCTTACCGATTAAGTTTTAATGTAAGATTTTACTTAAGTTAACTTCAAATGACCATATCTTTTAGAATACAAAGAGTTATGGAAAGACCCGAACCGTCGTTATCTGAGAAGAGCAGAACTCAGCGAAAAATTTGGGCTCTGTCATGCTACAACGGGATAGATGCCGCTGATGCGGAGCGCTACAACAACAACTTACTCCGCTATAGAGGGATCGGCGAGGCAGAACTGTAATTACAAAAAATAACTTATTTTTTAATCTTTCTAGAATACCCAATAGGTCGTAAATTACCCTAGAAACCTCAAAATAATTAGTTCAAGTTGGAAAAGAAGGAGAAGGAGCTTTTAGCATAGAGATGGTGAAATCTTGCGAGTTCGTGACCAAATTCACCGTAGCAAATCTAAAAGAGTTGGAAAACAGAACTAAAACCTATTAAAATTGCTTGGCGCTCAGGTAGGTTAGGTTTTTATGTTTGAGTAGTCGTAAGTCTATGTTTATTTTGTAATATATGAATCCAACAGTATCAGATACGTGTAGACCTTTGTGCATGAGTGATTTCGTGAAAAGTTGCTTAATTCAATGTTTGTGGGGTTAGTATCGTGTTGAGACTGTAAGCGGTCGAGGTTCTTAATTGTGTCTTTGAACGGGTTTTGTGTTAAGTAATGGTGCCGGTAGGAGGAAGGATTTTTGAAATATACTATCTTTGAACGTTATTGTGATAATTGTAATAAAGAGTTGTAGTTAGTTTAAGGAAAAACTAGTAAGAAAACTTTACGAAGAACTGAGATTGGACTTGTTAATTCCGTAAGAAGAAATTGAGGGAACCTATACGTATTTAAGCATGTGACTAGGTGATGGCTATGATCCTATGGTGGGGTGATATACATTTGTTTTGCTTTGCTGTGATACTTGTATATGTATGCATGTTCTGATAATGGTCTTTGATATCGAAACGAGATATGTGAATTATCGATGCTATGAAAGTGTTGCTTAGATGTTGATTTTGATGTCTGATTTTGATCGGATTGCCACGTTCCGGCATACCCAAGTTCCGACAAACTAACTGGATCGACTGTCACGTTCTGCCATACTAACTGGGATCCTACCACTTTCTAATATACAAAGTAGGATCGGTTTTCACGTTCTGGCATAAAACTTGGATCAAATTGCCACGTTTCGACATGCTAACAGTTCGACTTTGGGTCCACTGAGAGGGCCAACTACTTGTGATAAAATGCATATGGTTAATATGTAATGCTCAATATCGTGAGGTGTGTATATGTATCTATATGATGATTTTTTTAATTTATGATCTAATGGAACATGAAGGGTGGTAGTGATACTTGTATTATACAATGTGGGCAGTATGTTTAAGCTATGATCTAATGGAACCTTAGGGGTGGTAGTGGTACTTGTGGTATACAATATTGTTAGTAGTTGAAGCTATGATCTAATGGAACCTTAAGGGTGGTAGTGGTACTTGTAGTATTCAATGTGGCTAGTATGTTTATGCTATGATCTAATAGAACCTTAAGGGTGGTAGTGGTACTTGTAGTATACAATATGGATAGTATAGTTAAGCTATGAACTAATGGAGTCTTAAGTGTGGTAGCAGTACTTGTGGTATACAAGGTGGTTGGCGTATTTAGGTTATAATCTCGTAGTGAAAAGATAGTTGGTAATTGGATGGAGTTCTAAGAACAAGCTAAGGTTGGAGAAGCGATGGGTCTAGACATGATCTTTTACTATTCAGTTCATATATTATGAGGTGGTGTCAGGTTTACCGATGATTCCTACTAGCACGTGTGGTTGTACTGATACTACTCTTGCTATATCTTTTGATATAGTCTGGATGCAGGAATGGTGAAGTTTCCTCAGGTGAAGACGAAGAAATCCTCCAGCAGCTTTGACTTTTCTATCCGTATGGTGAAGTTGTATCCTTTATTTAACTGACCCTATTATTCCCTAAGTGGCTCTTGTATTGGTAAACTATTTTTTTTTAATTTAGTAAAGTTGTATTTTGAATGAGTTAATTCTTAAACTTCCTTAGCTTGAGTTCATTTTATTTAAATTCCGCATGGTTTCTAGTTGTTGTGTTATGAGGGTTCTCCTACATAAGTATTAGAGTAGGTGCCCACACGATCTGATGGATTGGTTCGTGACAGGTTATAGACCTATAACTGATCAAATTAAAGGTACTTGAATCTACTTTTCAAGGCAACCAATTTTGCTACAATCCAAGGTTAAATAAAATTTTTTTATCTATATGTTATGCATTAAGATTCTTGAGTTAATTTGTTCATGTCTATATTTTAACATGAACCTTATAAATTGAATATTTTTTAGAAGAGTAGTATCATCGAGTTCCGAGTTCTTGAGTTATGAGTACTGAGTTTCCATATTGCTATTAAAATTCTTAAGTTGAGTCGTTCTTGTCCATAATCCCGCATGAACCCTATGAATTGAGTTATTAATCTCGAGATGTTTTTTAAAGTCAACACTTGAGTTTTAAAATGAGATTTGAGGATGTAAATATGAGTTTTAAGAGAGAGAGTTACCAAAACATGATTAGTATGACAATAGAGTATGTCATCAATGTTTAAGCAGTATGGTATCTAGTTATGTCATCAATGTTTATGCAGTATGACTTCGCGAGTCAGCAATGATCATATCACAATATGATTTTAATTATTTTTGATAAAGATTTTTTAAGTATGAATTGAGTAAGAGTATAAGGGAACTAAGTATTCCCAAAGGTATCAATTTTTACATTGATAAAAGGAAAACTTTGATTTCTAAATGTGTCTGAGTTCAAACATATTTCAAGAGAAGTTACCTCTTTTAAGAAGGAAGTTTGAGAAATTATCTCAAACTAAAGGAAGAATATGTTTTTTAACATTGTGAATGATCATATATTATTGGGAGTAGTATCGAGCACTTAATTACAAATGAGTTCAGACAACTCACCTTTCTCATAAACCATATATGCCTACATAGGTACAAGATCATACTTTTTAGATGAATCCTAAATGCCTTCGGGCATAGCTGAATGCATTCACTTAGTTGAAGTGTTCTATACCTCGAGAAGGTATAAGATCGTTCTAGCAGCGTGGGCGAGACGTTATATCATTACGTAACTCATAGTGATGGTTGTCTATTAGAGAATCTCTAGTGGGGTTGAAGTGTATTTTTATATATCATTTATTAGGTTGAGTTCAAAGATGATTAACTCTTAAATTCTTTAATATCAGCTTGACTACATTGTTATCTATTACATTCCTTTCTTTCAGTTATTTGTTATTCACCTATATTGCATACTTGTACATTCAATGTACTAATATTATTCGACCTACATCTTTAATGATGCATATACATGTTCTTTGAATCCTTAACAAGAATCCTTTGAGATCATTTCATCCGCTTGTCAACTTTCGAGTGAGATCTCCTCGCTTTCGAAGGACTCTAATTTTTATGAGTTGTTACTAGTAGTTCTTTTTAGGAGTCATGAGTCTTGTCCCAATGCTTATATTTGTATAGTAGAGGCTTCATAGATAGACAATTTTGGAGAGTCTTTCAGTTCCAGATATTCAATTTAAAACTTATATTTTGTATTGTTTTGAGATTCAGTAAACTCTTTGAAAACGTTTCTTTCAATTTTATGTTTATGTATACTTGAGTTAGTCTTCCGCTTGTAGTCAGCTAGGACGAGAGTTCATTTGAGGACCTGTAATGGTTCTCGAGTGTTGGCGACACCCAGGTATATGCTCAGGTCGTGACAAACTTGGTATCAAAGCACAAAGTTCAAGTGTCCTAGGATGTTTATGAAGTCATTTCAATAAGATTTTATTTATGGTTGTGAGGAACCCAATTCTATAAATGAGGGATTATAGACATTTAAGAAAGTTTTTCCTTCTTTTATACTCCAAATCATGCAATAGAACTATGTCCTAAGGAAGTTATTCAAAACTCGTTCATTTATCAAATCCATTCAATGACCCCTCATAATTAAGGTGGCTGAAAAGAAAAGCCCATATCCTTATAGATGAGTTGCTCTTAGCTAAAATCTTGAGAAAGTCATGAGGTTGCATAGGGGATTGAGAGAAGACCATAAGTGATTTTAAGTGTTAAGTTTCGAAAGAATGCACTCTTATTCATGTGAACCATTTGCTCAAGATAAAAGTGAGATGTACTCTTTTCTCTAAACCTTATTCCAATTGAGTCCATTATGAGGAGGTGTGTTGTATAGTTTGGGTGGTATTTTCTCCTGAAAATATAACATAAGAACAAGGTTATAAGAATTAGTAGTAAGTGCCCAAAGTTATAAGAATACATGAAGAGGTTCAATCTAAGGAAGGCCGATAGTGATCAGGCAAAGTGTGTTGTTGTAATCGTGCACTCAGTAAGTTATTAACAATGAGTTTTTCCTAATGAGTAGACTAAGGAATATTAACCTTGTATAAGAGTTGATGATATAAGTTGGAGAAATAGTTACTACTTAGGATGAGTTAGAGTATACTTTAACCAAAAAAGAGTTTATGATGATGTGTCATTATGTTAGTAATGACCTTTTGTATGTGTTGAATAGAAGTGCAGGAGCATTCATGAAATGATAGATCTAAGCTAGGTTTATGATTTCTTTGGGAGAGCCCATAATTCAAAGGGTTATAGAACTAATCAGGCAATGATATAGTGGATGGTTAAATAGTACTTAAGTCATGAAATTGAATGTAATTATAATTCCTAAGTATGCAGACAGAGAGATAAAAATTGACCACTTGTTATGAGATTTTAGTGGGTCGGTGTTTCTTTATTTGTACCTACACTTGTAAGCAAGTATAGTAAGCGAACAATTATATTGATATCTCGGTTTAATAATAAACATTACACCTGATTTTGAGATGGTGCGGTGGTAAAAAAGAATGGAAATACGAGGGTGATGATGTTAGTTTGAGATCTAATCTGGTAGATTTGACATAGAGTAGGTATGAAATTAAAGTGTTACCTTTTACAATTGTGAGTGGTACAAGTATGAGATTCTAACTTTTAGATGAGAGCAATGACGTGTGACTAAGTCAGATAATTAAGTGTCACACCCCAGATTCAGAGAACTGAAATGTAATCTTTTTCCTAGACAACTAGGCGAAGTAGTGTAAAGGTCGAGTGACTTGGCAATTCGCCAAGTGGAAACCCCCTTGCCTTTTGTCTTGATCTTAGCGTTCCAGTATTCTAGAACATTAAATGATCTCAGTTAAGATCTCTATTCCGGTTGGCGTTTCACCAAAAGACCCTCCCTATCACCTTTTTACAATATCCAAGAGTCGACATACTGCAAATTTTGGTGAGCTAAAGGCTCACTTGGTGAGTCACCGAGTGTCCTTTGTTGAGCTCCAACATTAATAATTTTCAGCTTTAAGTCAGGGTCCTTTGAGTATTTTCACATTATTTTTATTTTATTCTACGTCGGTTTATCTTTCATATAAAGACCTATATAAATTTGGTACTCTCAATTTTCCCCAAATTAAAAAGGGCTCTCTCAAATTCCTAGAAAGACGAAAAAGACTTCCTCTTAGTTATTTCTCTTTCTAGAAAGCACATCTTTCTAGAAATCTAGAAGAAGAAGGATTCAACCTAAGGTTTCAAGTCAATTCCTCCATTAGTGATTAGCAATTGGCTTCAAGATATAATGATTTTAATCCATGGTTTTCTTCCATTCATTGAGTTCCCAAATTCCACTTTTTAAATGTTAGAAATTTTAACATCTTGTTATTTCAAAAGAGATAAAAATAGAAAGAACTACATTGAAACAACCATAAATTTCAATACGTGGTGAGTTAGTTGGCCCGTAAGATATCAAATGAAAGGTCTTGGAAAGCTCTTTCTGACGCAACTGAATTTGCTAATTTTTGAGATTGTATGAGGGAGATATGTCTGTTAGAAGTCAGGTTGTCCATTTAAGAAAAATTACCCCAAAAAAGAGGGGCAATTTGGTCTTTTCCTTACCCTTTCAGTTTTTAAGCATTTCAATGAATAGTCAGGGATCTAAACTGATTTAGTTCAGTTTTCCCAAATCAAAATACGCTTAGGGTTTTTGCAAAGAATTCAAGAAAATAAAACAGAAGAAAAGAGGAGAAGATTCAAGTGTTTGTCGAGTTCTTGAGGTTTTCTTGCGATTTTCTCTACGGGATTGATCCTTAAGAGGTATATGAGTTCTCAAAGTGTTACCCACATGTCAATCATCTTATTTTCATCCCAAATTCTTTCTTAAAGTTGAAGAATTTGAGTTCTTGTTGAGTTTTCTTGGAATACCTTTCATAATCTTGATTGTTGGGATTTGAATGAGTTCTTGAGATATGTGTTAGTGGTTTGAGGGTTTGTTTCGAGTAGATTATCATCTACATAAGTTGAGTATTCGATTCTATGTGATTGGGAAAGAAATTATTCTATTATAGTCTAATTAAGGTCAGAAAACGAGTAGAAAAATTGTTGAAATTATCTGGGGGAATGGTGGTGCGACGTGCCTCGAATGCGCCATCAGTGCGCCCGGGTCGTCTTTACCCACCCTTTTCCATCGTTTTACCGTCTATGTTCTCCTAAAGTATACCTTTACTCCCTATTGATTCTAAGCATCAAAAAATCATTCATAAACATGAATAATCATCTTGAATCCATAAATTCAAATTCAAGGTAGAGATAAGGTTAAGTCTTGAGAGTTCTCCGAGTCATTTTAAGAAGTATTTTACAATTGGTTAAACAATTATATTAAATGACTTAAGAACTAAGTTGAGGAAGAGTAGATATGAGTTCATTTTCTTTAAAATGATATATGGAAACTGAGTATTCCCAAAAGCAAATGTTTTTACATTTAAGACGAGAGGAAACACTATTTTCCAAAGAGTTCATGAGCAGTTTTCAGTCTTATCTCTTTTTTGAGAAACCTTTTTGAGTAATAATCTCAGAGTTGAGGAAGAGACACTGTTTTCTTTAAAGCATAATGAGATAAGTTACATAACTGGAGTAGTATCGAACACCAATATGGGGGAGAGTTGTACCAACTT